GCTACACCAGCCAATCTGCTAATTCATGAGCAATGTGAATTCTGTCTGTCTCATCAACAGAATACTAACGTTCTGAATGCTGTCCTCAGTGGTAAAGATTTAAAAATATATAGGTTTGGGAAGCAGTCTAGCTTAGTAGCAGCTAAGAATGTGAAAGTGTAACCATTTATATGGGCTCATCAGTTAATGTGCATGGTTATATGCATGGTTATATGCACCCCTCCTCTGTCTCTATCGGAGACAACAGTGGGAGTGGGGAGGGAGGTGGCTCTGTGGGACTCCATGTGCCCAGGAAGCAAAGCTGGCTTTCTTGGCACGCCACTTCCTACAGAGCCATCTGCTCCCCACTCCCATGCCCTGCGGAGACTACAGTTTGGGCCCCAGGGAGCTAACTTTAAGCCGGCTCCCCGTGCACACCAGCTCCCCCCATTGTAACCACTGTATTTTCAGCAGTTACATTACATAATTAAACACAGTGCTTATAGCAGTGCTTGTCATTAGAATATCACCTTTTGATTTGTCCTAAACTTGGTACCCCTTTAAGTCATTTTTATGGTTTACAATTGCATTCAAGTTATAGGATTTTGTTTCCATATGAGAAGACAAATGTACACATGTTGTGAAGAATTCTAGCAAGCAACATCTTTCTACAGATCCTGTGAATAAATTTTAATATTAAGAATCATAGCAATGTAGTCCATGAACTTCATTCATGTTATTTCACTTTTAGCATGAAAGGACCACAGAGTTAATCTCAATAGTATGGAGAAAGCTTATTCACTTATTAAGCATATTTAAGAAAGCAGTACAACTATTTTGGTGATGGCCAGCAAATAAGTCTCCTTGCCCAAATTATGTACATATCAGTCTGATGCTCCTTCCATGTTTTTATCCAGTTTTTCATCACAATTAAACTTTTCTGGTATTCCCCCAGACACTAGTGAATGAGAAGAGAAACACCCAGCTAGGTTTCAGGTTTTAATAATGTAAAACGATGTGGATTTTTTTAAAGTCATACTGCAAGTAAATTTACTACTAGAATTAATTTTGTGAAAAATCTTTGGGGATATTCTCTTTTGTTTTTTAATGATCTTAACTCTATTTGTGAGGTGCTGGATTAATTATTTTTCTGATCACAATAGTGCCTAGAAACCCAAGTTAATTCAGCACTCCATTGTGTTAGTGGCCGTACAAACATATAGTGCAACACAAGTGATCTATTGCTCTTATAATTAACCTGCCAAAGGGGATATAAAAGTAAAGAGTGAATAGAGGAGGAATATTTCAGTTGTTTAATAATAATGTATTCATATCCAAAGGTCTCATAGCATTTCTACAAACACTAATTTTCACAACCATCTTATGAGGTTAGAAGATGCCTTAAATAAGGCACTAAGACTTGACAAGGGTCACTCTGCAGATCAATGGTAGAACCTTGGAGTTTGGTCCTGATCTTGCAAATGTGCATATTTTTAACTTTAAAGTACGTTGCCACTCCTAGTGAAGTCAGTAGGGCTAGCTGTATAAATAAAACTATTCCTGCACATAAGTGTTTTCAGGATCAGAAGAGTTTGTGTCTGCATTAAGCACAACCTGCCTTACGTAATTGTATCAGTCCCATTACCACAGCGTCTGATCACCTTGTAATCTTTAATATAAATCCTTACAGAACCGTTTTAGTATGGTGAACTATGGAATAGAGAGACTGGATCACACAAGTCTGTAGCAGAGCAGAAAATTAAACCTGGTTTTTTACATCCCAGGCTGGCACCCTATTCTATGAACCATCCTTTGTGTGTCATTAATTACACTTGCTCTGTATTTATTTATCAGTGCAATAGAAAAGTATTATTTTGAGGAACTGAATATAGCTGAAGTATTTCAACCAAATTAAAAAATAGTGTAAATGGATGTCATGGCTCTTTATTTAACATTTTTCTTAATTGCATTCATTCACTGTATTTGCCATCAGATATTGATGGGCAGTCACTCCAGGGCCATTTACAGAATACTTAATAGAAACAAGATCCTTTTCTTAGTAGTCTGCCTTGGACTGTGAGTGCATTTTTGTACATCACTTGCCTCCTGTTCAAGAAATTTTATTAAAGCAAGAAAAGTGAAACACAAACTTTTTTTAATTAACCAGGACATGCATGCTCCAGGGAGAGGCTACATCAGGGATGGGCAATAATTTTTGAGGTGGGGAGGTGCATGCTAAGGTTTTGGTAAAGTGGTCAAGGGCCACACTTTCTTATGGAGTTGGGAGAAGGAGGGGTTGGGGTGCTAGAGGCAGGCTGTGGCCTAGAGGCACTTAACTAAGCAGTTCCCAGCCAGCAGCCCACTCAGACTGCCCCAGACTGCTGGCTGGCTGTGCATGTGAGGGTCTGCAGGGGAGGAAGAAGGGAAGGAGAGGCTTTCCATGCTACTCCCACCACCAGCAAAATCTCTGCCAGAAACCAGCTAATGGGAGCTGTGAAATTGTGCTGCATTGCCTCACCCCAGCAAACTTCCTTAGCTCTCTAGAAACTCAGAGATTTTGCTGGCAGCAGGGGCAGCGTGCTGAAGTCCCCTCCATGCAGCGCACAAGCCACAAGGAGCAGCCAGCTGCTTTGATCGATGATGCTCCCTGCCACAAGGGTGGGCACAAGCTGGATCAAAAGGATTGGGAGGCCAGATCTGGCCCCTCTCCCAAGCTACATGCATAACTGAGTGGCTCATATCTAATCTCCTAAGTAACACTCAGTATGCAATTACTTAATCATAAACTA